AACAACTAAAGCTACAATATTACTCGCTTTAATTCACCAAGGCTCTAGAGTTTCTTCTATTTCCGAATCTTTATGTCAACTTCTACAGTTACCTCGACGTTCAAAATCTGTTCCTATTCATGGTGTTGGAGGACAAGCAACAAATATTTCGCATGGAAATGTTGATTGTTATCTTAGCTCTCGAACTAAACCTTACATGCAATATCGACATAATGCACTTGTATTACCTCAAATCACGGCTTACGTACCTCCACAAGTTGTATGCAATGATCTTCAAACTGAAAAGTGCGAAGTTCATATATTGTCTTTTATTTCCTTATTCAAATTTCATTTTTACTTGCAACATGGATATTTCTCATAACTTCAATGTTTCTACTGCAAATCTAATCCATGGTTTTAAGAAGCTATACAGAAAGGTAGAATTCATCAAAAATCATATAAATTTCATTAATCGTTGCATCAAAGAAAATATTATTCCAAATTTTGCTAAACTCAAATGTCATAAACTTAATTCAAAATTGAAAAATCAACTAATTAAAAAGATTCTGGGGGGCGAGAAGGAAAAACACTTTGCAAATCTCAACAACACTTATGAAAAACTTGCAATCACTCAAAGAACTCTACGATCCATTTTTCATCACTTAGAGATAGAAGAAATACTCATACAGGCAAAGGGTGAAGCCAAAATATTTGGTTATGAAGATAGAAGAAAGAAAAACAATAAATTCAATATTCTAAAGAAAAAAGAAGAAATTAATGTTTCAAAAAAGAAAAATGCTTCACAAACCATAAAAGTCAAAACAAATCAATTCAAGAACCTTACAAATATACAGTTTAGCCAGGATGAAATGAATTTACTTAACAACGGACATAAATTTGCTCTGTCTCCTAAGGTTAGCATAATTGATACAGCAATTGATTTAGATGTCATAATTAAAAATGTTTCTTGTTACAATGAGATCAAAAGTGATTTAATACATTTCCTAAACAATAATAATAAAACTAAAATAATTAATAAAGTTGACAAAAATAATCTTAATAACTGGAAATGTATTAAATCAATAAAACAAAAATTGGAACTTGATGATGCTGTCTTTGTAAGGGCTGATAAGGGAGCAGGCATAGTCATTTTGGATAGACATACGTACGTGCAGAAAACTCTTGACTTTTTACTTGAGAACAATTATAAAAAGATAAACTTTAATCCTTTAGATAAGATGATTAAAAATACCCGAAATGTGATTAATATGTGTAAGGAGACTCTGACTAGATATACGCCTTATCTCGATAACACGGATAAGAAATTTCAAACCAATTACTTTCTAGATATCAAACCTAATTTACCTTCAATTTACTCCTTACCTAAACTACATAAAGAAGGTATGCCCATCAGGCCTATAACTAATTTTGGAAATTCACCTTCACGTAAACTAATCACTTTTATGTCTAAGATTTTTAAACAAATTAATTTTACATCAGCTTTTTCTGTTAAAAATTCAAATCAATTCATAGCTCTGACTAAAAATATTAATGTTGATAATTGCTTGCTAGTGTCCTTTGATGTAACTAATCTTTATCCAAGCGTTCCACTTGATTATACCCTTACAATAGTATCTAATTTGTTTGATTCACATTTTGATAACAAAAATAATGTTAAGGATTTTAATACTATCATAAAACATATTGTTTCACAAAATTATTGTTGTTTTAACAATGAATATTATTCACTTTCAGATGGTCTCCCAATGGGGATGCCATTGTCGGGCCTCTTAGCTGAAATTTTTTTAGATAACATTGAAAAGAATCATATCATTAACCAAATTAATCCTTTTTATAAACATATTATTTCTTGGAATAGATATGTAGATGATGTTTTTTGTGTGTGGAATGGTGGTATTAATGAACTTAATAATTTTCATTCTTACATCAACACATTACATAACAACCTCAAATTTACAATCGAAATTGAAAAAGATAATACTATCAATTTTTTAGATCTAACATTAATTAAAAACAATAATAGCCATATTGAATACAACATCTATAGAAAACCTTCTTCTATTTCTACCACTATTCCATACACTTCATCACACCCTAATCAACACAAATTTGCTAACTTTCGTTTTCTCATTAATAGAATTTTTGATTACCCTCTCTCTGAAAGTAATAGAATTAAAGAAATAGATTTTATTTTTAATTTGGCCCGTGACAATGGTTTCCCTATTGGCAAGATTACTCATCTCTTTAATATGATACGTATACAAAAAGATCCTTTATTCACAAAACACAATACAGACACTTTAACATATAAACCTCTACAATTTAACGCTTTAACTAATAAATTTCATAAATTATTTTCCAATTACAACATCAACATAGCCTTTTCAAATCGTAACACCATTTTAAATTTACTTACTAATCACACTAAAAAAGTTTTTGATATTGCTAAAGAGAGCGGCGTTTATCTGGTCAGATGCTTTAATTGTAACAATATATATGTTGGACAAACGGGGAGGAGACTGGAGACCAGAATCCGAGAACACAAGACAAAAGCTAATTCTAATATCTTCAAACACCACATAGAAACTGGTCATAAAATAGATTATGGAGGAGTTGAACTTTTACATTCATGTGATAAAAGTACTAAATTAGATTTTCTTGAAATCTTAGAAATTACTAAACATAAAAATAATAATAAATATCACCTCATGAATGATCAACTTCAACTCTTCCGTAAACCCATCTTTTCATATTTAAATAACTTCAATTTAAAAATTTAAATTGTTTGCTTTTTTTTTTTTCCGGTTCTTGTTTCCGCTTTGTAAATCTCGTTTTCGGTCACCAGTCTCTTCTTCTCGCTCCGCCAAGATGGTTACATGTAATTTTTAACTTTTAACACGTAATTTTCAAGAATATTTTTATACAATCATCGCTTTTCATTCGTAAGTGGTTTTACGTAATAATTCTATTACTTTAATCTATTTTATACTATTTTTAGATTTCATTACAACTTTGTCATACGCTTCACGTTTTACATTACCTCCATTTTGTTTTTTTATATGATTTACGACGCATTTTATATTCTGGATATTACTTACGATTAAAAATTTTTTCAACTTTTCAAACTTTTCAAATTTCAAATGAATATGCCTGTTGGCTTCACCTTTTGACAGTGAGTATTCTATAAATTTATATTTTGTAACTTAGATTAATCTTAGCATTTTACTTTTATGTATAGTTTTCGGCTGAGGATGAAGTAATATACTTCGAAACCGGTGCCGATTTAAATTAAACAATTTATGCAAGTGCGAAGTTCATATATTGTCTTTTATTTCCTTATTCAAATTTCATTTTTACTTGCAACATGGATATTTCTCATGAATTAAAAGACGTCACACTTGCTGATCCACATTTTATGTTATCTACAACAATTGACGTCATCCTAGGTGTTGACATTTATTCCCAAATTATGAAAAGCGGAATTCGTCGATTAAACAACGGTTCAATACTCCTTCAAAATACCACTCTTGGCTGGATACTATCGGGATCAATCCATTCAGAAAATGTAAAAGACAAAATTTACTCATTTCAATGTTCTCCTGAAAACAATCTTTATTAATTAATGCACTTCTTCTGGAACCAAGAAGAATCTCAAATTGTTAAAAAACCTTTACTAACTAAAGAAGAGCAGGATTGTGAAGATTATTTTAAACTTACTCATACCAGGGATTCTAAAGGAAGATTTATAGTTCGATTGCCCTTTAGAAATACTTCAATTAATATTGGTGATTCTTATGCAATGGCAAAAAAGGCGCTGCTTCGTATGGAATCTCGTTTTCTAAAAAATCTAAATTTTCAATGTCAATATTCCAGATTCATCGAAGAGTATCTATCTCTTTGTCACATGATTGAATGTTCAAAAGAAATCTCTTCGGTAGGCCAACAATTCTTTTGTCCTCATCATAGAATTATAAAAGAAAGCAGTACATCCACTAAGTTACGGGTTGTTTTTAACGGCTCTCAGAAATCTACCTCAGGAATGTCTCTTAATGATTACCTTTTGCCTGGACCCAAACGTCAGAATGATCTCGTCGATGTTTTAATGCCATGAAGACAACATCCTGTTGCCTTTGCTGCTGATATTGAAAAAATGTATCGCCAGATAAAGGTTCACTCTGATCATTTGCAATTTCAACAGATTTTATGGCGAGCTAACCCATCTGATACAATAAAAATATATCAATTGTGCACTGGTACATATGGCTTAACTTGCGCTCCATACCTTGCTATACGTTGTTTACATCAGTTGGCTCAAGAACACTCTAAAACTTTACCATTTGCGTCCGATATTATTTTGAATGATATTTATGTAGACGACATCTTATCGGGTGCTAATGATACAATACGTGCTAGAGAAAAAATTCACCATCTAAACGGGATTTTTATGGCGGGCGGTTTTCTTGCCAAGAAATGGTCATCTAATTCACAAGAAATAATTAGCTCGCTACCTAAAGAAAATATTGCAACTTCTGATTCACGATCTTTTGAAACTAATTTGATGTATCGAACCTTAAGCCTAATATGGAAAAGTAATGACGATAGTTTCATTTTCAGTTGGAAAACATTTTCCGTTGAAAGTAATACGTTTACAAAGAGAAGCATATTATCAGTTATTGCACAAATGTTTGACCCTCTGGGATTGGGATGAAAAATTACCAGACGAATTTGTGAAGCGATGGTGTACATTTATAAAACAATTTCATTCAGTCTCTGAAATTGCTATACCTCGTTGGTTCGGAGTATCTAACATCAAATAATAACAATAAAATAACAGTCACTATCGTATAAAACCAAGGTTGCACCACTTAAGCGATTAACAATTCCGCGACTTGAACTTTGTGCCACGTTAACGTTCAAAAAGCATTAAAATGAAGTGATCATATTCACCTTTGGACCGATACTACTATTGTACTTCATTGGATTACCAATCACCCGTCACGATGGATGGAATTTGTATCCAATCGAGTCCTGAAATCCAGGAACTATCATCTGCTCAATGGCATCACGTTGTTTCTGAAGAAAATCCTGCTGATTTGGCGTCACGTGGTGTGTCTACTTCCGAAATCAATGGTGCTTTACTGGTTTTGGCAAAACATGTTCAAAAAATATATTTTGCACCTAAAATTTCCATATTGATGTCTAATCAAACATTACCTTGATGAAATCGTCTTCATCGTCTAATACCATTCATCGATGGTAACGGATTTTTACGACTTAGTGGAAGGCTTCAATTTACTAATTTGGATTGGAACGAGAAGCATCCTCTTATTCTTCCGAAGATGTCATCATTCACCACACTGGTTATCAGATATCATCATTTACTCAATCTTCATGGAATCTTCGCAGTTTTGGATTTTATGTAGGCGTTTGCCAGTCCGACCTTTTATTCACAAATGCATGGTGTGTGCTCGTCAGAGAACAATTACTGGTCAACAATTAATGGGCTAACTCCCAAAATCACGTATTATTCCATCTCGTTCATTTTTGAACACTAGTGTCGATTATGCTGGGCCCTTTTCATTGCGTACACTGCGTGGACGTGGCGGTAAGATTTACAAGGGCTATCTGATCATTTTTGTTTGTCTCAGCACATCAGCTATTCATCTTGAAGTCGCCACAGATTATACTTCTTCGGGGTTTATCGCAGCATATAAGTGTTTTGTTGGAAGTAGAGGAATCGCTGCTACAATAAATTACAAGTGATTGTGGGACAAACCTTGTTGGTGCTGACCGAGAACTCCGCAATCCCTTCAATTCAGCATCTGAACAATGGAAATCTATTGCAAATCTATTGGCGAACGATGGAACTCAATGGATTTTCAACCCTCCTGGAGCACCTCAGTTTGGCGGAAAATGGGAGGCGGGCGTTAAGTCCGTCAAATATCATCTCAAGCGAGTTATCGGGGATGCATCTCAATCCTTCGAAGAATTTACGACATTAATTGAAATTGAAGCTATTTTAAATTCACGACCGTTGTGTCCAGTATCTGATGACCCAAATAGTATTGACGTTCTAACACCTGGATATTTTTTAATTGGAACTGCTCTCACATCCATCCCGGAACCATCTATACTTGATATCAATATATCAAGACTATCAAGGTGGCAAATGATACGACGATTATCTAATCAATTTTGGAACTACTGGTCTAAGTACTAGTTACAATACATACAAAATGCGTCGAAATGGTATTCCAAAGTCGAAAAGCTGCAGATTGGATGGTTGGTAATGCTGAAAGACGAAAGATTTCCTGCAACAAAATGGCCCCTTGCTCGCGTTATTAAATTACATTCAGCACCTGACCAGTTAACGCGTGTAGCCACAGTTAAAACAGCAAACACCACGTTAACTCGTCCAGTAACAAAATTATGTATACTTCCGCCTATTTAAAAATTGTATTGGGTTAATTTTTATTATGTTTTCATTAAATAAAATTTTTTGATTTATATTTATTATGGTTCAATCCTTTCATTATTGATTTTGTTACTCGTAGCCTCTTTCTTACGTTTGCCGAAAATATTAAAACAAATTTTATTTTTTTTGTATTATTCGTACGAACCAAGTAGAAAATCAGATCAGTCTCGTTCGTTGTAGTTATTAAGTTGAATCAATTATTGTTTAGTGTAGTGTAGAACAAAACCATTTAATTTCGTAATATAACATTTTGATAGTAAGTTATGTTTAATTCATTCTCAAACAAACTCATAATTTCTCAACCTCAAAACAGTACTAAAAATAAAAACTAACCAAAAAGGAGAAATCGAGAAGTACAAGGCAAGGCTTGTAACGCGAGAACACAAGCAAGAACGAGGAATCGACTATGACAAAGTATTTGCTCCCTTAGCAGGATATGAGACCATTTGAACAATGCTAGCAGCAGCTATTATGTACAAGGAACTGAAAGATAAGGTGTACATGGAGCAGTCCGAAATGTTTATTCAGCACAAAAAGAAAAGGAAGAGTGTAAATTACTGAAACCACTTTACAGCTTGAAATAATCTGGTCGAGAGTGGTACAAGCGGCTAAATGCGTACATTTTAAAAAACGGAGGTTATCGTACTCCAGCAGATCCATGTGTTCGCGTATATAGCGTAAAAGATGATCGAGAAATCATGACCATATTTTATTTTTTCAATATTCCATATAGTTTCCAGAAAAATTGCGGTTTGGTAGGGTGCGGTTTAGTCGAAAACGGCTGGGTGGATTTCAACGCGGTTTAACCAAAATATGGCAAATAATTGCGTTTGTCGAATCGCGTTATCAATTCTTCAACGTTATGTCTTTCTAATCTTTCTAAAGCAATTTACGCGAGCTATAAATTAAAAAGAATCAGAAATAAGCCATGCGTAGAAATGTCCAGTGAATACAACAAACCGTTTAGTTTAATGGCTTTAGGTTAATAAAAATAAAAAAGCCAGGTGAAACTTACGATGTAACAAGAACGTTTTTATTGTTTAATAACAACTTTTACTTTTCACCAATACAATCAACACGCGGACACATACACACAAGGTTCTCGATTGCCAACTTAGTCTCTTACAAAAACCCTATTTCAACAATATAAAAGAAACAACCTTACGTAGAAACATATTATTACGAAGGCTTTCGAGGCCGATGCTGAACAAAAACTAACACCAGTACTAACACTCTAACTAACACTAGCACTAAAGCACAACGCTGTGACAGCAAAGGCTGTACTGGCTCTATGTGAGTGTGGTTAGACCTATGATCTCATGCGGAGCAGCAACCTGGTTTAGGAAAGTCCGACAAACTTCAGTTATCAGTAAACTTTCACGAATGCAACGAGTAGCTGGATTGGTAATCTCTGGTGCGATAAGCACAACACCAACTCTATGGATGTTCTGCTTGGCCTATCTCCTTTGCATTTGCATATAGAGGAAATGGCTAGAATTACCATTTACAGATTTATGCAATATGCTCAAAATTGTTTCGACATGTCTTACCAATGGGCTGTGAAAGACTTTATAAGCACTGATATTGTGCTATCAATGCCATCAGATTAGGCGGGTTCACTATCAGTGATCGAAAACGAAAATTCTCTGGTTCAGGCAGATATTTGCATTTCATGTTTGCATATGGATCAAAACCGCCGGAATGGGTCGGGGCAGGAGTAGACTGCCAGACACCTCGGATTAAGCAAGCTTACAGCCTGGATACGTACTGTATTCTATTCCAGGCGGAAGAATTTGTTATTGACATGGGTGCTAAAATCCTTCTTAAGAGAGGGGTGAAGGACATGACAGTAAGATAGTCAAACCGCTCTCCAGGCGTTGCACGCCGTGAAAACGGTATCGACTCTGGTTAATGTAAAAGAACTTTAAACACACTGAGTTGTGATAACAGAGTGTCTCTGATCTGGGTCCCGGGTCACTCTGGGGTTGCTGTCAATGAAGCGGCAGATGAGCTAGCACGAGAGGGCAGCGATTAAGCGTTTGTGTGGCCAGAGCCAGCAGTTGGTGTATCATTTGCGTTGGCCAAACATAAGATTGGACTATGGGCTGAAGAGAGACTTCGCCTACTGTGGACCAGTTCTCCTGGAATGAGACATACTAGGTTATTTATTAAATCTGGATGTTACTATCGTAGCTCAATTTAAGAAGAGAGTTAAAAGAGATAAATTTATGGCTCACAGAACCCTGACAATAACGAACAAAAACATACCTGGTGCCTCACTGGGTCAAAAAATATTTATTAATGAACACTTAACTCCTTATAATAAGCAATTTCTGTTCCTCACTAAACAGAGGGCGCGCGAATTGGGTTTTAATTACGTCTGGGTGAGGAATGGAAGGATTTTGGTGCGGAGAAATTCGGGGGATACTTTAATAAGAATAACAAATGAAGAGGATTTACGCATGAAAATGAAAAATGTTGGGTCCTCGGAAACGCAAAAGAGCCACTCACACGAATAGTATCTTCTTTTTTCCCCTTTTTTTCCCTTTTTTGTCGCTAACCTAGAAACATTCATCTCAATCCAATTGAAAAAGAAATGGACAATTATTTGGAACAACAAATTTGCTTACATGCGTTGCTGATACCCTGGACGACTTTAATGATCATTTACAGGGGTTTTAATGTAATTATAAATCGTTTACGTTATTACATTTGAATATCCGTAGCATTAATAAAAACTTGGAAGTTGTTGTGGGTGATGTAAATTTTAATTTACTCAATAGTAATGATGATGCTGTTTTTCGATATACAAATATCATGGCTCAGAGTGGTTTCAAATCTTATTTTAATCAACCAACTCGCGTTGATAAAAATTCTAAGACGATCATAGATCACATCTTTATCAAATCAAACTTCCCTGATCATGTGTTTTTGTCACTTGTTTTGAGGAATAATATAACGGACCATTTTTCAATATTTGTCAAACGAAGCTTTGAAGGGTCAAGACTGGTGCACCAGCTGAAAAGTCGAAATCAATGTTGGATGACTCATGTTGATTACAATGGTCTCCGACGAAACCTTAAGCAAATAAAATTTGGTTCCTAACAGTAACGACCGTTACTACTCTTAAGTTAAAACTCAAGAGGTTAAAACCATCCCCTTAGCCGTGAGTTGCTGAGTTGAAATTTGGTGTGGATATAGCTTCGACATCCCTAAGTTGATTTTCGTTAAAATTAGAGTGCTACACATGAAGGGGTGTCAACCCCTAATAAAAATAGTTGAAATTTGCTATGTTGGGTGAAAAAAAAATAAAATCCACCCCTTAGCCGTGAGTTGCGGAGTTGAAATTTGGTGTGGATATAGCTTCGAAATCCCTAAGTTGATTTTCGTTAAAATTAGAGTGCTACACATAAAGGGGTGTCAACCCCTAATAAAAATAGTTGAAATTCGCTATGTTATATTGAAAAAAAATATAATATATAAAACACATGAATGAAAATTTCTTTTAGTAAGTATATTATTCTAATAAAATAATTAACAAAATTAAAATTATAGTTACTATGATAACAGTCAAAAACTTAAGAGCCCACTTTACCAGGTCGGTCAGTTTCTGAGGGGCGCAGACGACGGA